GGGACTTTCTGAAGAAGGGTCCCGACCCGAAACATCGGCTTTCCTTCTCCTCTGATGCTGCCTGGCCTGCTGTGTTCCTCCAGCTCCACACTGTGTTATCTCTGACTCCAGCATCGGCAGTTCTTACTATCTCTAACTAAAAAGAACCTTTATTTTCAAATTATGGATCTTTTTAGAAAGAAATTCCAGAATTTTCTCACAGAAATCTTTGATACATTATTATTTACTTTGTTCAGTCATAAGTCGTCCTAATGTGCACAAAACCAGTTAGTTGTGAAAGCTAACTCCCTCAAACTGTTTTAAAAGTGGTATCCATGGCTGCAGAAATACTTGCAGGTTACTTATTAAATCTCAAATGCAGAAAAACCCATATGTCACCAATTCAAAATGCAAACAACCAAGCTTAAAAATAAATGATCTTAAAATATTTAAAAATCTCACAATCTCCCACACACTTGGAAGAATGTCTCTTTGAGGCAGAATCAAAAATTAGATGCTAAGCTAAGGGGGATGTTGGCAGGGGTGATTGAAATCTCGGCAAAACATCGGCTTCTAAGGACCAGCTTAATGAAGGAAAGGGAGAAGAAGAGTTGGAGGTATTTTGAATAGGAATTCCAGACCTACGTAACTGAAGACATGACCCCCATCTGGGGTAAGAGTCCATGGTGATGGCCAAGTTGTACAAAAGGCTAAAATCATTACAAGGGTATTCACCTGGGAGGTGATTGGTTTTGTAAACTGACTATATTTACCTCAACAGGATGGAGAAAGAAGATACCGTGAAGCAAGCGCAAGGAAGAAAATACGACTTGATAGGTCAGTAAACCTGAATACCCCAACTCTTTGGTGATTAAATGCTTTTACAGAACAGCAGAAGTGAATATCACAGCGATTCTCACACATATTCTTTATTTCAGCATGGCAGCAAGAGAGCTTCACATGGTGATTTGCTTTGTGAACCTCTGGAAAAATCTATTGGGTGTGTAAAATATGTGTTGCCAAACAACTGGAAAGGACCACTGTAGTTCTTGTTAGAACACAGAGCAAATGGTGCCTGTGACTCAATTAAACTGACCCTGCATCCTAAACCCTGACCCTAATCCCCTAAACCCTCACCCTAATCCTCTGCTAACATGCTCTCAGATTTCACTTTGTGCTGATTACAGCAGCCATGCCACGGATAAACAGAATGCAAGGGGATTCCCACTGATGCAGCACAAGGTCTGACAGCCTAATGTGTACGTTGAATTTATAAAACACGTTGGAATGTTTTCCCATATTCAAGGCGCTATATAAAAACAATTTGTTGCTGCTTTATGCAATTTGCTGCTGTAATATCAATAATTCCCAAACTTTTTTCTCACTGTGACCACATTTTGAAACTTGAAAATTGTCACCATCCCTCAGTGAGATCTGAGAGAGTGGGATATGATGGAGGTCATATCTGTTAGAATGGGAGGGCAGCTGTTAAACTGTCAGTGAGAGCTCCACTGCCTTGAAGCTCATGACCCAGAGTTTCAGCTTGAGACCCCATTTGGAGTTCCCTCTTTGTGTTCTAAAATTAATTGAGGTCCAATACCTGTACAAATATGCTGTCTCTTGGGCTACATGGTGCATTGTTCTGTGTGGAAGTAAGGAAAATTCAGTCGGTTTAATTGCAATATTCTAAAACCTGAAGCTGCTGGAAACAGCAGTAATCCCAGAAGTCCCTCTCCCACCTTTTGTGTAAATGCAGTAAATGTGTGTTAATACAAAAATATTGTTTAGTTAATTGTAGATTCTTGTACGTTCAATGATAGAGGTATCATTTTTTTTCTCGTGGCGAAGTCATGAATCCAAAATTGTATGTATGTGGTATGGTTGTTTTGACATGGGATTTCCTAGCATGATCCTTTAGGCTGAGGTTTGGAGTTTTAACAGGATCTCAGTTGAGTGTACTTATTTTTTTCTGAAGGTTCCCTTTTGAGTTCTGATGGCACATACCAATCAGTGGAGACTGATGCAGTTTCATGGCATCATGGCCTTGAATGTGTAATCTGAAAATTGATTGTTGGATTCAGTTTCAGTCTGTGATGCTTAATGTTGATTTTTTTTTTTCAGTGCAGTTTTGCATTCCACACTTGGGAAAGAGAAAGCTTATGTTATTTTAGCTTCTTCCACAACATTTGGATGTACTGATTGTTTCATAGCCAACTTTTGAATCATAATTGGTTTTGTAAACTGGAAAGCACAGTAATAAATTTACACACAACAAAACTGCATACACAGCAATGGGTAAATGATCAGGTAAAGCTAAATAATTTGTTTTTGGGCAAGGTGGAGAGGAAACTTTTCTGCTTTGAAAAGTGTTTGTTTTATATCTAACTGACAGGTCGGATGACATCTTAGTTTTACTCCATCTGAAAGGTGGCATCTTCAAAGTTTGATTACTGCCCTGCTGTATCAGCCTGGGTTTATGTGTTTGCGTCACTGGAGGTAGGTTTAAACCTCTGACTTTCTGACACAGAAGCAAGAGTATTACCACGGAGCCAAGTCCAACAATTAACGTTTGAGAACAAGTCCACTTGCTCTGAGTGGACCTGAGATTGTAATATTCCAAGTAAAATCTAGTAAGAATCTAAAAGAGTTATAGTTAAAAATCATGTGCGAAAACCTACAAATTCCTCCAGGTAATTAGGAGTTTGAACTAGACAAATGAACTGTATTTGCAGATCTTTTTATAGAAACTTAAAATCCTGTTGTTTTCTTTCAGAAAATACATCATTTCATGTAAGCAAACTGAAGTACCACTATCTGTGCCCTGGGACCCCAGCAATCAGGTAATCTCCCTTTCCTGATACAGATAATTTAGAGTGTGAACCTTTCATTTTCATAATCAAGTAAGTTGTCTTTTTGTCTGTTGCTTTACCCCTTTGCCTGGGTATAGCAGATGTAATCTCTGTGTGTTCCTACCTATTTTACTGCTGAACATTTTGCGTAAACAACGATTTGATAAACTGTTCTTTGTATTAGTGATCAGGTTTGCATATTCACAAAAACCAGTTTAGTTTTAGTCATCTGTGGAATATATTTTTAGTGAGGATGATTTCGGTCAGTTCTGCTGGCCATATTTATACATGTCCTAAACGAAGCTTAAACCGCGTATGGTGGTCAGATTTGATAGGCAGTTTAGAACTTGCCTCATCATACTCCTTGTTACTTTGATGGTACCCTCCATTATCTATGACCTCCTAACCATGTTGTGTTACCCTGGTCAACAGAAGTTGGTCAGGTCTTGTGTTGTATGTTGCTCTCCAGTTTTTAAGCCTCTTAACTTTTTTTGTTTGTTAGCATAACGTGTCCACTCTCTGCTTGTCTTCCCCTTTCCTGTTCTCCCCTTCTTATCAGAAGGGCATGACTCCTGCTAAAGTACTGCTCAGAGAACAGGAACCCACAACCAAAAATTCATCTTAAGTGCCCCTTTATCATGTAAAACCCAGAAAGGATGTTCAAGTGTGATGAACATCAAAGTTAAGTCCAATCTTGTCATCACCATATTTCCAACGAATAGTCATAGATAGTGATCAGGATTGGTAAATCTGACTTATTTCTTTTATGATCTCCTGCTGGTATCTCAGGAGTACTGAAGCCAGTTACAGCACTCAACTGTTCAGCAAATTCTGCATTAACCAGTTATCAACCCTGATATCTTCTAGTATCAATATGTCAATGCTACACACTGGCTTAATCAACTGATGTTTGAAGTGACTAGTTTGCTTTTTGTTTGTTTTAAGGTTTACCTCAGCTACAATAACATTTCTGCACTGAAAATGTTGGCTGCAAAGCAAAACTGGGTACTGAACAGCACACGCAACAAGGCAAGTTAAACTAACAGTAACATAAAGTTTAAGGAATTAGCCAACTGTTTGGAAAATGATGCAAATTTCCTTTTTCTAGGCCAAACTGTTCACTCTGGAGGAAGGTCAGTTTCTGTCCTTCAAAGCAGAAATGTCTGTTTCTGTAAACATCAAGCAAGTTTTCCTGCTCCTGTCTGATATGAGCCGTCGACATGAATGGGATACCCACTATCAGTAAGAAGAATGATATAAACTAAGAATGGCCATCATTGACTGTGAAAGAAAGGATAATGAAAAGGAAGATATTGATACAACTCAGTGTACCAGGGAGTACAGAGATGTTATTTCTCTCTCTCTCTTATGATTGAACAAATTAAATCTGGTTTAACTTCTCTTCTGATTGAGAAAGCAGAGTGATACGTCACTTGGTGATCAGCTGCCAAACAGCATATGGTCACAGAGCTTCACAGAACGTGATTTTTGAACTAACTCACCTTGTGATTCAACTCAGTCCTCGATCATCAGCGTTTTTTTTTGTGGGGTGGGTGTGATGGTCATTATTGCTATATGGGCTGGCCATTTAGGTGGTGTAGCTGCTACAGCAGGTGAGAGTCCATGTTTTCTGCAATGAGTGACTCGCATTCTGACACCCCAAAACATTGCCAGCACCTGCAGGACTCGGGTATGAGTGTAATGCAAAGCTGTTCTCTTAACGTGGATGGATGGAATTGTATCAATGTTGAAGATGCTCAATACCATCTAGCTTGATTGCATCTCATCCACTAGCCTTAAAGTCCCCTCTACCATCAACACAGAGAGGCTGCACTGTATACAATCTACAGTAAGCACAGCAGGAGCTCACCACAGCTTTTTCAGCAAAGCCTTGAAAAGCTACTAATTCCACCTCCTAGAAGCACAAGGGTGGGAGGTGTGTTGGAACACCAACGACTTTGAGTTATTTACCAAGTCACCAAACCATCCTGATTTCATCATATATCATTATTCCTTCATTATTGTTGGGTCAAAATCATAGGATTCCTTCTTCACCACACTGACAGCATCTTCACCACATGGAGTGGTTCAAGAAGGCAGTATACTACCATCTTCACAAAGCAAGCTAAGGATGGGCAATAAATACCAATCTTTTCAGTTAAGCCCATTACCCCAGAATTAATACAAGAGTATTCACAGTATGTAATTTACATCAGGGATCAGTGAATTTATTTTTACCTGAATTTCTCTGGAATTATATCGTATTTGTAGAACTGTGATGGGATAGCTTATACATGGTTAGTGAATGGAAGATCTGAGGGTTTTCGAAGTGGAAGGACCAGGCATCTCTGGAGTGCCCAAAGAGGAGCTATCTGTGGGACCTGACCGAGGTTCGTCCTCTGAATGGGTGCCTTCTGGCACTGCCCTGTCTTATTCCAAGGAAGTGGCACCTGGAGTGAGGTCAGGGTCCTTTGTCCTCTTTGCTGAGTACCAGTGATGGAGTATAGGTTTGTCCATATATGCGTGTCCATGGCAGTTGCTAGCCTGCCCATGGAGACAGTCAAATGCATGCCAGCTTGCTTCAGGACAGTACGTAAAGCATTGTCCTCCAATCTTGGAGCCAGTTTCCCGAGTGTCCCTGACAAATTTTCCTGCTGCTCTCGTGTCTGCTTGTGCATATTGTCGAAGTTATTAATATCCAAAGCCATGGGCTTGTCTTCTACCTGGGGCTGAGCAGGTGCCTGGCCACAGACATTCCTCTGAGTGTCAGAACCGGGGTTGGGGAGCATTTCTTCCTCCCACCAACTGTAGTGACATGACAGTGATGTGCTCAACAGAATATGAACACCATCACCACCACCGCCCGTGCCCCCGCCCCACCCTGACCAACTTTAATCTCTCTAAAGTGCCAGGTCTTTTGGTTGAGACAATTGGTCAACATATGCAGTTCACATACAGAGCTCTTTACTAACAGATATCTTTGTGCTTTACTGGGAAAGTGTCTGTTTAATAATGTTTACCCTTGAAGTGTCTCACATCTCTCACAAAGAGAAGTCTGCACCTGCAGAGATTTAAAATAAAACACTCGCACACTCTCTGGCTGTGGTGGCACAAATAAACTGGCACAGAGTGAATTGTAGGCTCAGCCTGTCAATCTACGTGACCCCTAGACCTTCATGTTCCTTTCTGCTTCTCCGTCTGTGCCATTGGCTTTGACCTTCCCAACATGCCCAACCAACCCTTTAATGTAACTGCTCGTCTCCCCACTTTACGCCCTAACTTCCAGACATTACTCCATAGTTACACCAGACACAGTCCTGCATTGTTCCCTTGTTAACATCAAAGACAGAATGATGGTTATTGTTGCACCCCCCTCCCCAAGCCCTTCCCAACCTTAGTACCATTTCCCTCCCATGCCGTATTGTCTACCAACCTTATTTTTGAGTTCCTTTCCTTAACAATTATTATTCCATCTGTATGCCAGCATGCTGCCTCCAATCCTCACAAATGATTTCCTCAAATATTCCCACTACAGCAATGGCACCTGATAACCCTCCTTGACTTCCAGTTAGCAGATGCCCTTGACTGACCATGTCCTACTCCACCTTCGAAACACTGAAAGACCAGACCCCTGACTGATCTCTGTACAGATCCCCCAGTGTCTTGCCACAGCACCCTGGGTTGGTTGAACTGGACCTGCAGGACTGACTGTGGCTCACTCCCTGTGATGATATGAACCTTGTGACCCTGGTCTCCCCATGTTCCTCACTGACCATTTCCAAGCCTGGACTGATATCAGATATGACCTAAACCTACAGTGGTGGGACCCACTTCCTGAGTGATGACAGAACCCCTTAAAGTTTCAGACGTGGCCATTTGGTTGAAGCGCATAAGAACATAAGAACTAGGAGCAGGAGTAGGCCGTCTGGCCCTTCGACCCTGCTCCGCCATTCAATAAGATCATGGCTGATCTTTTCGTGGACTCAGATCCAGTTACCCGCGTTCTCACCGTATCCCATAATTCCTTTATTGTTAAAAAAAAAATCCAATTTTTTTAAAAAAGCGTTTACTGAAGTAGCGTCAATACTTCACTGGGCAAGGAATTCCATAGATTAAGAACCCTCTGGGTGAATAAATTCCTTCTCAATTCAGTCCTAAATCTGCTCCCTCTAATCTTGAGGCTATGCCCTCTTGTCCTAGCTTCACCTGCCAGTGGAAACATCCTCTCTACTTCTATCTTATCTATTCCCTTCATAATTTTATATGTTTCTATAAGATCCCCCCTCAATCTTCTGAATTCCAATGAATATAATCCCAATCTACTCAGTCTCTCCTCATAAGCCAACCCCCTCAACTCCGGAATCAACCTAGTGAACCTCCTTTGCACCCCCTCCAGTGCCAATACATCCTTTCTCAAGTAACATATAGCGTGTATGCCATATAAGCTGCTGCCACATGCTGTAGATGTGATACTGATGTAACACAATTCCATTCAGCCACTTTGACTGATCATTGCTGGTAAATGCCACAAGCTGCCTGGCCTTGTGTCTGTGTTAAATAGCAAGACAAAGCAGAAAACTGAGGATGCAAGTTCTGAATGATGTGGCAGTGTGCAAAAAGACAAAGCAAGGTAGAGATGCTGTGAGCATCCAACTAGGTGCAAAGTGAGAGAGCAAGGAAAGTCCTGAAGTTCACTCTGTTCTGATACATGAGATTAGTGTGTGTCCCTGTGCACACTGTCCCTGTAGCAGCATTGCCATGAAAGGTGTGAGTGAGCTTCAAAGTGCAGCATTGAAGAAGTGAGCTATATTTTGAGTGAGTTGAAGATGTACCATGATGTGGTGAGGCTGGTGTGTCCAGTGCCAACCTCCATGGATGAAGGATGCAGGCAGTCACTGCCAGTGAATGTGCCTGGAGATGGTGGGGACTGGCAGCCAGGCTGGAGCCCAGAAGAGCATGTGGTGGCCAGGCTGGAGCCACCATTACCCAGGAATTGTTACCATCTATTTTCCCTCCACTGCCTGGTAAAATAACAAACTGCAATAAGTAATATAAGGTTAGATAATAATGAGGTGTGAGAACTCCTGCTGCTCACTAACAAGATTCTCCTCTCGCCATTTAAAACCTTGGGTGGAAAATCAGATTTTTTTTTCCCCTCAATATCAAGAATCGCATGTTTCTGATCTCAAAGTATTTTTCCAACTGACTTGCCATTGCCCGTGTCGTTCAGGTGCTGGAAAGATTCCACTTCACAATTCTGAATTACATTATAAAGCAAAGGCTTTTCAGTCTGACTGGATGGCAGCTGTTGACGTTACATTAAGGGATGGGATGCAGCCTGAGATACTGCTTTCATGCAGTGGTGTGGAACCAAGTCTGAGGAAACTCCGGCAATGCTGAAGTAGCTGTCAAACAGTCAGAAAGTGTCAGCAGATTTGATGGAGTCCCTTGTGCGATGGAGGAGCCCTAGGTACAGTTCATTGTGTGCAGCCAAAACTGAGTGGGAAAGTTAACTTCATCAAGGCTCATGTTGAAAGGACAGAAATTGTCAAACTGGTCAGAGATTATCACATGAAATGTTCCTTAAAGTGCTGTCCTAAATTTTATGATGTATTTTTCTCCCTATCCCTTGGGTTGTAATGTGCTGTGTTGTAATGGGCAGAGCTCCAGGGGAGTGAAATATTTGATGGGTGTGAGAGGTAGGAACATTAGGCTCAAACTTCCACCCCAACCTTAAGTTTACCTGGACCATCTCTAACACCTCTCTCCCCTTCCTGGACCTCTCTGTCTCCATATCGGGCAATCAACTAGAAACCGATATTCATTTCAAGCCCACCGACTCCCACAGCTACCTAGAATACTCCTCCTCCCACCCACCTTCCTGCAAAAATGCTATCCCCTATTCCCAATTCCTTCGCCTCCGCCGCATCTGCTCCCAGGATGAGGTATTCCACTCCCGTACATCTCAGTTGTCCTCGTTTTTCAAGGACCGTAACTCCCCCCCCCTCAGTGGTCGAGAACGCCCTCAACCGTGTTTCCCACATCTCCCGCAACTCATCCCTCACACCCCGTCCACGCAATAAGAACCAAAAAAGAATCCCCCTCGTCCTCACGTACCATCCCACCAACCTCCGGATCCAACGCATCATCCTCCGACACTTCCGCCATCTGCAATCCGACCCCACCACCAAAGACATCTTTCCCTCCCCTCCCTTATCTGCTTTCCGGAGGGACCACTCTCTCCGTGACTCCCTTGTCCGCTCCACACTCCCCTCCAGCCCCACCACACCCGGCACTTTTCCCTGCAACCGCAGGAAGTGCTACACCTGCCCCCATACCTCCTCCCTCACCCCCATCCCAGGCCCCAAGAAGACTTTCCACATCAAGCAGATGTTCACCTGCACATCTGCCAATGTGGTATACTGCATCTGCTGTACCCGGTGTGGCTTCCTCTACATCAGGGAAACGAAGCGGAGGCTCGGGGACCGCTTTGCAGAACACCTACGCTCGGTTTGCAATAAACAACTGCACCTCCCAGTCGCGAACCATTTCAACTCCCCCTCCCATTCCTTAGACGACATGTCCATCCTGGGCCTCCTGCAGTGCCACAACGATGCCACCCGAAGGTTGCAGGAACAGCAAGTCATATTCTGCTTGGGAACCCTGCAGCCCAATGGTATCAATGTGGATTTCGCAAGCTTCAAAATCTCCCCTCCCCCTACCGCATCCCAAAACCAGTCCAGCTCGTCCCCGCCTCCCTAACCTATTCTTCCCCCCACCTATGCCTTCCTCCCACCTGAAGCCGCACCCCCACCTCCTACCAACTAACCTCATCCCACCCCCTTGACTGTCCGTCCTCCCTGGACTGACCTATCCCCTCCCTAACTCCCCACCTACACTCACCTTTACTGGCTCCATCCCCGCCTCTTCGACCTGTTTGTTTCCTCTCCACCTATCCTCTCCTCTATCCATCTTCAATCCGCCTCCCACTCTCTCCCTATTTATTTCAGAACCCCCTTCCCCTCCCCCTTTTCTGATGAAGGGTCTGGGCCCAAAACGTCAGCCTTTCTGCTCCTATGATGCTGCTTGGCCTGCTGTGTTCATCCAGCCCTGCACCTTGTTGTCTCGGATTCTCCAGCATCTGCAGTTCCTACTATCTCTGAGACAATAAAAGTAATGCTCAGGACCTGGCAAGGTTTGCATGTGAATCAAGCAGTTGGAGTACTGGGAGTTCAGGTCTGCAAAGGTCATTGTTTTATCCTGAGGATAACCACTCAGAAATAAGTTGTTCCCCAACTCCTCCTAGGGTGGTGCCTGTGGAATCAGCTAAGCCTGGAGTGAATTTTCAGCAGGCCTACAGCATCTGTGGAGAAAAAAATCAGAGTTAACGTTTCGGGTCCGGTGACCCTTTCTGAGAACCCAGTTGTGAGGAAGGGTCACTGGACCTGAAACGTTAATTCTGATTTCTTCACAGATGCTGCCAGACCTGCTGAGCTATTCCAGCGACTTCTGTTTTTGTTCCTGATTTACTGCATCAGCAGTCCTTACGGATTTTATGGAGTGAATTTTGTCTGATTAACAAAAGTAGAATCAGCAACTGGTCGTGCACAGCACAGAATACTGCTGTGAGAGCTGAACTGACTAAGGCAGTGGGTAGCTGCTGTAAATCATGAAGATCTCTGGCTTGATCCCAGCTCTGCTAAGATAGCTGTTCTCGGCTGTGTCAACTATGTCAGTGCTTCAGTACACACTTCGTGAAGGTGAAGTTCAAACTGTCTTTTTGCGTTTTTATTAAAGATGTGCATGCAGCTGGTGAGAATGAGATGGAAACAGTGAAACACACTGGCAGCTCTTGCTGTCCCTCGTAAAGATACTAGAGGGGAACCATACTCCAGCAGGAAGTCTTCATGAGGGAAAAGAGAATTGACAGAAAAAGAAAATTCCAAACTGTTGCCAACTCCATTCTTGGAGTATATCAAATTTTGAAGAGTGAATTTATATTTTCCTTCATGGGTTTTCATATAGAAAACTAGGGGATAAATCCTTCCATAAGGAGTTGAGTTATTAACATCACCACCAAAAGAAGAAAGAGAGAAGTTAGGAGTAATAACTTTACTATAGTGGTGTTAGGACCAGAATAAGCAACAGAAGCAGAATCTGTTCATGTTTTCAAAGGGGAAGTGATTTATCAGGGGCCAAGAAAGGGCAGGAGAATGAGACAAACTTGATAGTTCTTTCAGAGAATAGGTACAAGCTTGATGAACTGATTAGTCTCTTCCTCTACTGAAAGATTCTATGAAACAAATAAGAATATCCACAGGGGAGGACTTTTTTAGCTAGTGGAAAAAATGGGGATTTTAAATAATAAGAATATAAAATAAGAAATCATGGAATTAGATGTTTTACATAAAATTATAACAATTAGATGTTACATGAGTTTGATTAATACTGTAGTTTCAAAATGAGTTATTAAAGTATACTCTACTCCTTGCATGCGGAAAAGCATATAAACTCATATGACTTCTGATCATTTTATGATTCCTCCCAAGGAAATTTGAGTTGATACAAAAGGTGGATGAAGATGATGTCATCTATCACGTGATCTCCCCTTCTGTCAACAAGGAGAGTAAATTTCAAGACTTTGTTTTACTGGCATCTCGTAGAGTACCTTGTGCTGATGGGTAATTTTACTTCGTTTTTTTCAAATAAAGAGTCAGACTGAGAAGCTTTTAAAAAGTTGAAAAAATCTCCCAACAGTAATTCTGAAGAAATGAAAAGCCAAGTTTTCGTATTTAAATTTTCAGGTCCAGAGGTGCTGTTTGGCAGAAATTACCACATACCGTGTCAAGTCATTACAAGCCCAAGGCATCAGCTCTATAATGTGTTTAGTGGGTCATTAGTAGTTTAATTTTATTGCACCTCTCTTATCTTCCTCTATCTTAATCCCATGTTTCATTCCCAATTTTCATCTTTCTCTTCATGATTTAAACCTTATTTATAATTCCCTGGGTTATGTTCTTAATTTAAAACTTGCATGGCTGTGTGAGACTACTTCCGTCGTGACTGATTGAGGAACCTTGCTGTCTTATGTCCTGCTCACAGGGCTCCTGCAGGGGTTATCACCTGGTTCAGAAACAGATGATGACAGTGAAATCTTAACAAGCAACTATTAGCATAATGAATAACGAGCACCGTCCTTCCATCTCTCTTTACAAAATCTCAGCTGTTATACCCAAATGCTGTATCCTGTGTTGTCACAATGCATGCTTTTCTGTTACAATGTGCTTGCCAAGCCATCCAGGTCTTCACGAAAACTGGGTGTCACAGCCAGCATCAAAAAGATATGTTTAGAGAAACATTTACTTGAATGTGGAGCTGGGAGATGCAGGCCTGCTTTTCATGGCTGCTGCTGACTGCTACACCCCACAATGCCCAATGACATATCCATTAGGGATGCTACAGTCTAAAAATTTAAGTAATTTTCTGTGGTGAGTTGAGGACATCCAGCAGACATCTGCAGCTCGTCTGTCTGGGGTTACTGAGGTGTTGCAGCTACTTGTTCTGTTGCAGGGATCACTTCCAGCCTCCAGTATGTATCAGCTGGCTGCACAAAACATCTGTAGTCCAGTTAATAGATTTATTCCTATTTCTTTTATTAATCTTTATCATCAATATATCCAGCCAGTTGATATTATCAGTTTCTGTCTTTTACCCTTCAATATAGATAGCCTTCTATTTCAACCACCCTTGTCACTTTTATCCACCCATCAACTGATGAAATCTTATCAGTTCTCAGGGTTAACCATTTAACTTTCCAAAATTGTAAAATGAGCCTCTGTATTTTTCCTCTGTTTATATCCGGATTGCTCAAACTGTAGAATATGCAGCTTTTTTTGACCTAATCTTGACGACCTGTTTTTCGGGATGGAGAGATTGGTAATGTTGACAGATTTTTCTCTGTTCAGAATGTTCTATACTTTCCGCGGTCAGGTCAGGTCATTCTGTACCTTTAACAATAGCTTGTATTTTTAGCAGCTGCAATTAATTTCAGAATTCCAATTGTTGCAACAAATGCCTAATCTATTGTCTAAATAACCTGATATTTAGCTTGAGGTGCTGAACTGTAAAATTTACAAAAAAATAAACTTGTAAAATGGTCACCTACCAAACTATTTTGCAGCGGGTCAGCAAGGCATGTCGCAGCCAATCTCTCCTGCCTTCTAGGGAGACTCCCTGGTGGAAGCTGCATGGAGTCTTAGAGCATGGAAACAGACCCTTCAGTCCAACTTGTCCTTGCCAACCTATGCCCAAAAAATGCAAGTGACCCTCAGGCTAGAATCTGGAACCAGGTCACAGCTTGTGGTGAGCACAGGTTCTTCTAAATGCTGTACTGACTTTAAGGCTGAACAGGAAATCTAGGCTATGGTGTTGGAACTGTTATTCTAGTGTTGCTAACTTATATCATGTTATTTGTTTGTCTGTAGGCTTTAAAGGATAAAATAGTTAAGCAAAATATCCCATTTTGTCATTTGCTCTATAATGCAAAATCCAGCAATGATTAAAGCAGTAAGTCACTTGTTATAAACTTTGTTTTTCTAGCGATCCGTATCTGATAGCCCTCCGCTCAGTCAGTCTCGCTGCGGCCCCACCAATTGAGGGTCTTGTTCGAAGTGAAGTGTTGTGTGCAGGCTTTACACTTTGGGAAGAAGAAGTCACTCGCACTAGGGTAAGGGTCCTGCCTCCAATTAGTAAATGGTAATGATCAATTTATCCAAAAGTTTGTATTTATTATTAACATAAATCAAGTTGACCTGAATAAATAGTTCTCTTTACCCGAAGATATGGTTGTTAAATGGAGTCTGACAGTGGGTGTAGAGTAAGATTTCCTTTAATTTATACAGACTGTCTAGCTGTTCCCTGAATCTAAAAGCAAACAGATTAAAAACAGTTAAGTTCTCCAAAGGAAGTGGTGGGATATACTAGATTGCCCTAACACGTTACAGGATCTGAAATGGTACCAGGTCTATGTCGTGATAGTATTGTAGAAAATGTCTTGTTATAATACAGGTGCTGGTTTGGGAGTCGTACCTTCTTCACAGCACAGTGGGATTGACACAATTGAATTATGCTGCTGAGTCTGCAAATCTTTGTGAAAACAAGGTTGAAAATACCATTCACTGACACAAAACTGGCAACTGCTTATCGATCAAAGTTAAACTTTGTAATAAATTAAAATTTGAAAGTTTTCCCAGTAGCTCCATCGCTTCAAGTTTGCAAACAGAAAAGCCTGAAGATCAGGTGACTGGTTTGATTGCAATCTGCATTGTTAGCTGCTCATTTGGAGAATGGATTAACCACAGTGTTTGGGTTAGTGACTAAAATGCTGTTGCTAATTACTGTCCTGTAACACAGCTGTAAATATGTTTGCACAATGGCCTGGGAGCATGGCTTGGCAGCATAGCAGAATTTTATCATTCCAGGTCGTGTACTGTTGAAGTATGACTCAGTTTTCTTCAAGACATCCTTCCTTCCTAATTTTGGAATACCCAGAATTTAACAGAGTATTCCAAGTGATGCTGGATGAATGTTGCAGTACATGTTTGTGTTTTTTATAATCTGTACTCCTTGTGATAAAACAAATCATCCTTTTTTACATCTACAAATTAATGTTGAATGATTTATCTAGCTGGACTCCCTAGCCTATTTTTTCACTGACTCTCCATGTCCCCATCTGCTGCTGCTACCACATCCAACGTCACTCCTTTCAGCCTGGCATATTGCATCTTGGTCTTGGCGACAACTTGTTATACCTGTATGTAGGCCTCTGTTCATCGTCCCAGTTCTGCAGTCAGACATTACGACCACCTTATACTTTGTAGCTTCCACAGCAGTAAACATCACTGGTGATCCCCCACAAAATAGAAGAAAAGAAGGGATCGGGATAGAGGAAATGGGAAAAAGCAGTTTGGAGTCAAGGGAAGGGAAGAGAACAAGGGGTCAAGAGGCTTATGGAAACAGGGTGACGGAGAGGAGATGAGCTAAGACAATGATGCAGAGCAAAGGAAATAGGAGATTTGATAGGTGATATGCAGCTTATTCTTTGTGGCTTTTGAAATGTTAAGGTTTCTCGAAACGTTTCTCAGCAAAGAGATACTATGGAACCACAGTTCCATCATTGATTTCTCACAGACACTGGTGTTCTAATTTTCTAAAGGGAAAAATACAGAGCTGAGATGTGATTGAAAAGGATTGGGGACACTGGAAGTGAGGATGAATTGGTGGCACCCTATCGTTTTTTAAGAAGAAATATCATTCGTGTGATGTGGGCATCACAGGCAGCCCAGCATTCATTGCCCATTGCTTGTTGCCCTTGAGAAGGTGATGTTGAGCTTCCTTCTTGAACCATTGCACTCCAAATGCTGTAGGTATACCCACAGTGCTATCCAAGAGGGAATTCCGGGATTTTGACCCAGTGAAACTGAAGAAATGGCAATATATTTCCAAGTCTGACAGTAAGTGACTTGGAGGGGGAATCTTGCAGACGATGGGGTACCTGTGTATCTGCTGACCTTATCCTTCTAGATGGTAGTGGTCATGGGTTTGGAAGGTGTTGTCTAAGAAGCCTTGATGAGTTTCTCCAATGCATTTAGTAGAAGGTACACACTGTTGCTACTAAATATTATTGGTGGAGGGACTAAATATCTGTGGATGTGTTGCCAATCAAGTGGGCTGCTTTGTCCTGGATTATATCAAGCTTTATAAGTATTGGTGAATGCGGGTAAATGAGGAGCATTTCAACACACTCCTGACTTGTGCCTTACAGATGATGAATAGGTTTTGGGAGTCAAGTTACTTGCTGCAGGTTTCCTAGTCTCTAGCCTGCTGTTGTAGCCGTAGTATTTATGTTGCTATTTCCAGTTCAGTGGTAACCCAGGTTTTGCTCAGTTTTGGTCACACTCCCAATCATGTCACCATTCTCCACCCCTCCCCATCTGCAAACTTGACCTTTTTTTTTATTTTCATTCCTGGGATGAAGGCATCACTGGCTAGGCCAGCTTTATTGCCCATTCTAATTGCCCAGAAAGCAATTAAGAGTCAGCCACATTGCGGTCAGTCTGGAGTCACATGTAGACAAGACCAGGTAAGAATGGCGGTTTCCTTCCCTAAAGGACATTAATGAACCAGATGGGTTTTTCTGACAATTGACAATGGTTTCATGGTCATCATTAGATTCTTAATTCCAGATTTTTATTGAATTCATGTGTTATGGTGGGATATGAACCCAGATCCCAGAAAATTACCTGGCTGTCTGGGTCAAGAGTCCATTGATATTACCACTAGGACATTGCCTTTCCATATAGTTCTTGTTGTATGGCCTGTCATTTCCTGCATCACACTTAATAGAGGCTACCTATGTGTAAAATAAATTATTTTTATATAATGTCAAAGTAGACACTTTGGAATGCACAGAAGTACTATTCAGGAAATGGAAACACTGGAGCTATGGTGCACTCTGATTGTTGCCCTGATTAGTAATTGACCTCTGAATGGACTGGATTTGTCAATCTTCCAGCTTCAATTCAGTAGTGGAATATACATGGCACAGGGTTTCTTTCCTTACAGAGCACTGTACATATCATTTGACCTATCTTCTTACATCTCTGAAACATCTTGAAGTGCTTCAACATAAAAGCTGTTATGGAAATACAAGTTGTTATGGGAGATGTACTGATATTAAACATAAATTCAGTACGTGAAAGCATTTCTATTGTGACAAATTTCAGTTTACAGCCTCTCCCCATGTGTACTCACTTCCTATTTTTGTGAATCAAAGCATGTCAGACTTCCCTGTGTATTTGCCTCCATAATGATAATATTTGCTCTATTCAAACTAGTTTGGATGTTACTGAAAGTTGTGATCAGGTGTTTTACGGAATTGGTATTTCTCTTTGACACTATTCACTCCTTTCCTCCCCTCAGCCTACCCCAATGGAAACAAAATGCAAGGAAGCCAAACAGCTAATATTTAAATATGGCACCTCAGCGATTGTGTTTTGTTTTTGTACATATTTATCCTCCCACTCCTTTAAGGACTTATGGTTCTTTAGGCTCTGGTACTTACCCATCTCTACACTAGGATTAGCTACTCTAGAACAGACCAAAAATAGACCTGAGACATCCCATTTTTATATAATTTCAGTGCAAACAACCTGTGCAGTTTCCTGCACAGCCATTGGGAGAATTCATGATTATCTGGATTTGAAGCAGTGACCCTATTTTAGTATGAATGAAAGGAAAAAGACAGGTTGTAGCACAGAATGTATCTGCTATCGGTGTTTGAGGTTAATGAAGATACTTGTCTTTTTTTCAGATTACGTACTACATTCAGGCGACCCCTGGTGTTCTCCCGTATATCACCCGTGACATTACTGGACTTTCTGCTGACCTCTGTAAAGTCATTGAGGCTTGTAATAAGTTTCTCGAACAAAATAAGGATGTGGACTATGTAGTTTTGTAATATTTGTGCGATGTACGGCAGGATACCTGTTTCTGCACAGTCTGCATCACATAATAATCCAGGGGATTGGTGCAAGAGGAGCTAGGTCATGGGATAAATGAGATGTCGGTTCAGTCTTGATCAACTGGAACTCAGAAATTGTAATGATGATTAAGCTCGTTGAGCTTTTACAGTGCATAACTTTTGTATATTTTTGTAGTAATGGCATTGTTCTTGGTTAATTGAGATTGTACACAAATGGAACTCCATTATGTAATAGTGTGTAGTTCTTGGAAACTACTGTTATCTGATTAGAGAAGTGATCACTGCAATAATTTGTAAACTTGAGTAAAGTTTTTGTACAGAATAGTAACTGCCTCTTGCATACAGCAATTTATTACAGACTGCCCAATTTAATTTGTTTTATTGTAATTTTCAGAAGAATGAACTTTAAAGATGAATAAATGAGGAATTTAAGAATAATTGTCATTGATAAAAGACTAATATTTTTAATTGATGATCATTTTACTGGTCACTGAGCCTACCAAATATTTTCGATGCTTTTTGGATGTGTATAGTGAGATTTTTTTCCCTATTCTTTACAATCTGCCAATAAATTTATTCAAACAAGTCATTGTTCTCTGTAAAGTTAAATTTGACAATTTTTTTTAGTTTCTGAGTTGAGAGTGTGGATTCAGAAAGTTACTTTATCATTAAGTCACAATCAATTATCCTTACAACTGGAACTACACCCAGTGCTCGTGTTAATGCTACACTTTAGCACTGAAACACAGATCAAAATTAATTTAATCCGATGGGAGAATCAAAGTTACCGACAGTAAACTTATTGCATTGATTACCACAAAGTATTTCCATGGTGATTGTGGAAACCAGATTTCCTGTGAATTAATTCTGTCATTTGAAACACTAAATAAAAACACACTGAACTGTGATTGTGTACATTTTATTGATAACTAAAACTTGAAATGCAAATCTTTAAAACTAGGAAGATAACAAAATAGCCTGTTAACATAAAATCGGCTAGTTACAAATAGCAAATAATTCAAGGGTTATGCATTAAGTCAAACATCAATTGCTGTTTCTGCAGTGTCGTCACATCAGCCACTTGCAAGTGACTGATTAAAAGACTACAATAAAGTAATTCAATTTTCCCCTTATTCATTTTTAAAATGTGCAGGCTTGCTGCACAACAAAACTTATGGACATTTTACATTTGGGAAAATGTCAGAGAGGTTCAGCTAAGGAGCAAATCATTATGTTAAAATTCAATCTCCAGTTCCATTGATGGTTCAGTGAGTTCAGTCAATGAGCAGCTGACCCAAGGGTCCTGGGTTTAGAATCCAGTGTCTCTGAGTAAGAGGGGAAGAGAATTATCCCAGTGTTCTTGTTCTCAAACATCTTGATCAGCCATATGAGCATTCCCCCAGCTCCTGCAAGTTAGTAGTTTGTCACCACTTCCTGTCAAGGCTCAAACATGAATAGCCACCTGGGATGAGGTGCTTGTTCTTGTCTGTTGCTGATGGAGCCCTGATTTAGTAAGGAGGAGAGGGTGAAAGCTGCAAGGAAAAGTTCAATCCTTACACGGACCTACCCCAAGAACATTGTAGGTGGAAGCAATGACTAAAGGTGAAACCTGCTCTAGCCCAGCTTTCCAGTTGGTCACTCTGTAACAAACAATGCATAGATTAAATGAACAAAGGAGAATCTTTCAGCAAAATTCCTGTGGTTGTTTACATCCGATTCAGGCTTTCAGTCGATATTTGAAAGGATTTTATGGAATGTTATCAACATTCATGCACCACAACTTTTATTAAAGCACCTTGAATGTAAAATAGAAAATATGCCAAGGTACTTTTCAAAAGTGCTGAGCATAAAGTGAAGATGGAGCCAACCAAGTGGCTTTTAAGAAGGCGGAGAGGGATTTAGAGAACCAGAGGTATTTAAGAATAGAATTCCAAAGTGTGGACACCAAGGTGGCTGAAGGTCACAGCTGACAACGAGAGGACGATAGCCAGGTTGCCGGTGACCAAGAAACAGCACAAACTAAGAGTGAGTGCTATGGTGCTGGTGAAAGTCGCGCAGGATTTTTGGTGAGGCCATGGAGTAATTTTACTTCAAAGGATAAGAACTATCAATCAAATATTGAGATCCAGGAGCCAAAGCACGTAGAGAAAAAGATAATAGTGACCGTGATTTGCAAATGGTAGGATAAAGGCAGTAAAACTCTGGAAGTGCAAGTGTTTACGGAGGGTGCAAGAAGAAAGATTCAAAAGAATATTTTAGAAGATGCAAATCTGGACCTAACAAAGGTATGAGGTGAATGTTTCAGTCTCAGATGGGCTGAGTTTGGAACAGTGGCAGAAGATATCAGAGGAGGAAGTAGGCAGGCAGGGAATTATCAGCATGGTTTTAAAATAATAGAGATCCCAACATTCCCTGTCTCTGATTGCATTCCTTGCCACAGTTACATTTTTTCCTTTCATTTATTAATCTCATTCCAATCAGAAGCTATTAATAGTATTATACATCACACTTAAAATCTGAATTTTTCACTTTGTCAAAAATTATTAGAAGCTACTTGATTGTCAAATTTGCTCAAATTGCTAAATTAACAATCATGATGGAGAAATTAATCAAATTGCTCAATATTTCACTAAACTGCTGCCGCATTTACACAATGTTGGTTGGGGTGGGGTTGGTTTGGAATCAACGAAGTGTTTTACAGGTTAGTGTTCTCAGTTTGAAAACATGTGCAAGAAATTTTCTCTGTGGAAATACAGGACTTGGGTTCAATTGCTCACCGTACCATAAATGAGAATTAAGTTTTTTGAAAAGGGGGAAAGACCACATTTGTTCTTGGCATTTTAAGTATATTATGCAAAATAAAGTGTAAAGTACAAAGGACCAATAACATACAGGGAGAAAGCAGGATACTGGCATAAGATAATGTTTATTTAGCAGGCACAATGGGGTGAATGGCCTCATGGTCATAGCACTGCTGTGATTCTGTGATATCTGAACTTTAAAAGTTAAACCAACTTTTAGAAGTTTACACATTTTTCTTATTTTCACTCTGAGTCTACACTGCTCACTATCCAGAATACTGTGATTGAACTAAGGGCCCCTGTCTATGTGCTCCCTGGTTGTGCTGTGTGCCTCACACAATACCTTAGGCACAAGAATAAATATTCTATTACACTGAAGTCTATAAACCAGCCATCTAGTTTATTACACAGTAAATAGATGAAAATATTAAATAAAAATGGTATATATTTACAGTAATTACAAACCTTTCTATTCTCTTAATACCAAAACAACAAACGGTTCATTCCCTGTGCTGATACTCCATATTAAGGTAAATCTCCAGGCCTGCTTCCTAGTCAGCTTTACAAGACACATTGGTATCATTCTTGCCCCTGTCTCAACTGCTTCAGATTGTTGGTTGGGAAGAAGTCAGCCTCAGTCGGCATGTTTTAATGCATTATTGAAATAAAGGACGTCAAAGTGTTTGATTCAATTGCATTAGACATTCAGCCATTTACACCATTTCTAATGATGTTTTCACCAAAAATACAATGAGAAACAGACACTTAAAAAGTTCTCCAGGTTGCTGGTCTATGAACAAAATGAATTGACTCTTTACCTGAGACTAAAGTATTTTGTTCTACCTGCTTCAGTTTATTCAATTACCAATCACACAGACATGTCCAAATAATGTTCATATGGACAGTTCATCTCTCCCCTGAGCTATTATCTAACAATTGGCATTTTCTCTAAATAATCCTGAGTTTTTAAACCATGCATGCAGTATGACCAGCAAGAACAATAACCTAATTCATCATATTTTGCAGTGCTCCATTTTGTGTTGCACTAATAGATATCTCTGACTACTTTAGTTTTCAATGCAAGTAAGATAAATCAAATTTTTACATTGAGTTATTCTGATATCTCCTATTATATATTAGGATGTTACATTGATGGATGAACTGATGTCTTATGCAGTCAGCAGTGAGCATCACAAATTGTTCTGTAGTCCTGAACAATCTGAAAGCATTATTGAATGTCTATTAGTTTCATAAGCCCCCAGTCTTCTTTAAACCCCCCTCATAATTTATCTTTTGCAGATCATAAGCAGATTTGTGCGGTATGACCGATTGCTTCTAAAATATGCTGGGAACTCTGTATGGCTGTGAGGGACTTGAATGACTCATACACCTTCAATAGGGTAACAAAACAATCTAGTTTGGTGGCCAAATGGACTGTACTATTCAGTTTGATTCTGAGTGAGCATAAGCTGTAAACCGGTTCTGCCTATTTCTAAATTATTGTTTTCTCCAACATTATCTGACGTTTTTATCCAAATTTGATAGTCAAAAGAGTAAGATGAGAGACTCTGCCTCTGAGTGAATGGGGAAAAATACAAGTTTATTAGATAGAGGTAAGACATATGGAACATGAACCTGTATTGCACCTGCCAATGTTTATGAAATGTTTCAGTTTAAAGTTTTTGACAAGATTTGCAGCCTGGATTGTGGATGAGGTTGTAGACTTGCTTGCCAAGCCGATGTGTTTGTTTGCAGATGTTTCATCACCCTGCTAGGTAACATTGTCAGTGCACCTCCAGTGAAACTTTGGTGTTCTGTCCTGCTTGTTATTTATAAGCCTCAGTTTGCTGGGGTGGTTGGTATCACTTCCAGTTCTGTTTTTCAGTGATTTGTATATCGGGTCCAGTTCAACATGTTTGTTGATGGAATTCCAGTTGAAATGCCAGGCCTCCAGGAATTCCTCGGCATATCTCTGCTTGGCTTGTGCTATTATGTGTTGTCCCAGTTGAATTCGTGTCTTTCTTTGTCCATGTGTATTGAGACCAGTGATAATTGGTCGTGTCTCTTGGTGGCTAGTTGGCGTTCATGTATCCTTATTGTCAGTCTTCATCCAGAACCAGAAATGATGCCAACCACCCCAGCAAACTGAGGCATATAAATAACAAGTGGGACAGAACACCAACGCTTCACCAGAGGCACACTGACGATGTTACCTAGCAGGGTGACGAAATGTCTGCAATCAAACACACCAGCTTGGTGAACAAGTCTACAACCCCAATATTTGAGTTTTTCGATCAGAAATCAAGGGATAATTCATTATTTAAATATTGGGACTTTAAGAGTGAGATTTGTCTAAATCATTCACATAGAAACCAAAGCGAGTGGCTCTTTGAGTGTGAGTTAACAGGTTTGTAGTGTCAAAAGAATTTCTGTGAAACCACAGTGTTAAAATAAGGCCACAGCTTGCACTGCAGTCTGCTATTCAGATTTATCACTGCTGTATAGCTGATATCTGTGTTACTTGAGCTTTCACAAACCTGCATGATGGGTTAGCGATGTATGAAATGATGGCTCTCATTGCACTTCTTGTTACTTCACAAGGGTAGATGAGCAAAACAGGGTCAAGGTCTCTGTTTCATGGGAAAACTGAGAAATGTAATTGCAACTACCTGACTGAGTAAAGCTGTTCGCAACACTTCAACAAAATACACCTCAATCTCTTATGTATGACAGCCTTTTTGCCAAATTTTATAATCAAAATTTATAAAACTACCTTTGGTATCAAAATCTTAAATTTTTATCTCGACTAAATTAAGAAAATATTTAAAGTTAATAAGGTTGTACCTTATAAATATGACAAAATTTAGCTAATAATTTCGGTGGTTCAGAAATAGGGAGTTATAGCTCGGAGCTTAAAAATGATTTGCCTGCCTAAAAGGTAGGACTGGTTAGTGATGTACAAAGACTCTCAAACAACTTTTTATGATGTGAAGACATCGTCGTGAAAACTGTTTCTATAATCTTGAGGTAAGCGGTAATAAATCCTACGAGTGCTGTATGTTCGAATGTTTATCAGCCCCTGAAACCCATCCAAGTAGCTGCCTTGCTCGTGTAGATGCTCCACTGTCAGAGTGTAGGTAGGGGAAGTCTGCAGTAGTCGAGTGGTGGCTTTCCATGATTTACCCAGAGCAATAGCCTGAAGCTGGAAGGACACTGCTTGCCATAGCCCACGACAAAGATTTAGCATGTCTTCTACTAATGGCTGTGTATAACCATGGGTAAGCACTTCTTTTGGCCAGCTAGGAGCTATAGTTACAAAAGGAAATATTTCATTGACGGTTTTGATGAATTGCTTTCCCTCAATGTATCCATGGGTGCTAAAACTACCGTAAGAGAGATCCATATTAATCCATACAGGCTTGAGGAGAAGGTATGCTGTGTAAACCCGTTCAAGCAGATATAAGGTTGGGGCCAATGCCTCCTGGGATTTTATCTTCAGGTAGATGCCCCATGGCTTGGATGAGGTTGCGATCCAATTTAGAGCTGATTCCAAGGGAAATTCCAAACCCTTTTCCGCACCTACTACCACTGGAATGGCATCATTAGCTTTTGTCTTCACGTTCAGAATAAGCATTCCTCCAATATTTCCTTAATAAATTGAAAATACAACATTTACACTTTGAGTTTTACAAGACAAACAAAACCACACCAAGTGTCACCACATAAAATAAAGGATCAGCCCACTGAGACAATAAATTAACAGAAAAATAGGTGAAATAATTGATCAACTGGTGATACAGTATGTCTAAGCTGGGGGTTACAGAGATAGAGGTTGAATTAAACATTAGGCATTCCAAAACTGGCATGTTACTTGGATGTCTCATTTATCCATCCAGCTGCTGCCTTCTAGGACGTACCCAGCAATTCATCCACACTACATGTTCCATTTCAGATACAGATATTATACTGAATTCTGTCATATTTAATTGTTCAAAATAAACCTTTCTATATTTGCAAAGTCTGACTTTCTATTAAGGCATTAACTCGCCAAAGTCTCAAGAGAATGAGCTATGAAAATATGTATATATCAGAGGATCTAGACTTTGAAAATGAAGAGAGGGTGAGACAGTTTTAGTTCTATTTATGTATCAATTGTAGCACCTCTCAACCAGAACATTTGGGTTCAAGCTCCACTCTGCAGATTTACACACAATCTGGACTGATACTCTAGTTCAGGTAGTGCTGCATTTTTGGAAGATCTCATCTCATTTGAAGGAACAAGGATCCTGTGTCCTTACCTAATAAAACTAAAGCAGATCAGTCTGATCATTTATTTCTTTGATGTTTGTGGGACCTTGCTGTGTGCAGACCTACTGTCGCATTCACCAATAAAATAATGGCAACACTTATTTCCTTTAGTGGAAAAATGTTTCAGAATGTCTTAAGAATGTAAAATGATTCGTATAAGTATGAACATTCTATCTTACTTTAAAAAAACTGAATTTTTCAAATGTGAATTTCAGTAAGGACTTGGAAATTTTAAAAATTTGCATTGTATTACTTTTTAGTCATAATTAGCATTCATTATCTTGAACAGAAAGAGACCTGGATTTTCATAGAGTTTGGAGTGTGTTTGGAGGATGAAAATGGTGGCTGGGACCCAAGTCTAATTTTGCATCCTTGGCTGAGAGTCCTGACATTCAATAAAGTGCTGAAGTCGCTGAGCCCTAGGCAAAACATTGCTTTCTTGACAGATTTGCCTCTCAGATCTCTTCTTTCAATTGCGCAGTGTTTCTCAGAAGAGGGTTCTTGCAGCCTGCTTGCAGTTTCTGCTAATTGATATGTTAAAGGGATGAGATGATTGACATGTTTATTGGCCAATAAGAATTTTTTTTAAAAAGAGGCAGTAGCATTTTTAAAATACATCCTATATATCCTGTCACTATATAGTTAATGAGTTCTATGTAGTTGGTGAATGGGCATGGAAGTGCTGTAACCTGGCAAGGGCTACAAAGGGCATGGGAAGAGCCATAGTTTGACATGAAGTGTATGAAAGGACATGGGGGTGGGTGGAGTGGCACAGATTGGCATGTATGTTGGGAGGAGTCTTGGGAGATGATGGAAGGACGCAGGTTGGCCTGGAGCATATGAGGAAACATATTGGATGGAGGGGTTGGTGGACTGGCATGAGTGGAAAATTGTGTGTGTGTGGAAGCTGTGGAGATGGGAGGGGTGAGGGCTGGAGGGCCTTGCTGTTTTCATTATAAATGGGAAAAGTCTCAGCACTGAGGTGGATCTGTTCAACAACTCATCTTAGCACATGGAAGTTCCTATTGGTGTCTCTGAACTCTTGATAACTAACAACCGCACCCTTCCCCATGATGAAAACCCCATCTCTGTTGGGCACATTCTCCTGAGGTAGACCAGCCAAACCAAAAATATTCCCAAATCTTACTATACTCCTCAAAGATGAAAATCCAGGTTCTTATCCCTCTGCAGAGTTTGTATTTAGACTTGAAGATGCTCTGTATGTTAGATATCGAGACACCGAAATTTCAAAGGTCAAAGAATAAAGACCATAAATATACAGATAAACGACTGCACCATCTTTATATCCAGTCACATTATGCAACATTTTCTCTTAACTTCTGCAAGCAGATATTTGTGAGTTCTCTAAATTTTGCCTTTTGTAGCCTGATCATACTTTCATGCCTGTAACATTGATAATATCATCACTTCCACTGAAAATAAATAAACTCTGAATAAGCTCAAATAATTGCAATCCTAGTGACATGCATCATAGCTTTCAACTGGGGTTGATCCACTCTACCACATTGTCTCCTCTGGCACATTAAATATTGTCACTTCTGAAACCTGGGCTCAAGCCACACCACACAGTCATACAGTACGAAACAGACCCTTTAGTCCAACTCGTCCATGCCGACTAAGTTTCCCAAGCTAAACTTGTCCCACTTACCTGTGTTTGGCCCATATTCCTCTAAGCCTTTCCTCTTCATGTCCCTGTCCAAATGTCTTTTAAATGTTGTAATTGTACTTGCGTCTACCACTTCCTCATTCCACATACAAACCACCCTCTGTGTGGAAAAGTTGCCCCTCAGGTCCCTTTTAAATTTTTCTCCTCCCACCTTAAAAATACGCCCCCTAGTTTTGAATTCCCCCACTCTAGGGAAACGATCTTTGCTACACACCTTATCAATGCCACTCATGATTATATAAACCTCTATAAGGTCACCCCTCAACCTCCTACGCTTCAGTGAAAAAAGTCTCAGCCTCTCCTTAAACTAAGGTCCTGCAGTCCTGGCAACATCCTGGTAAATCTTGTTTCCACCCTCTCCAATTTAATAATATCCCTCGTATAGCAGGACAATCAGATCTGTACACAGTACTCCAAACTGATGAAATTAAAATCTGCTTCCTCTGTTAGCTCCAAGGGACAGATTGTAGCAGTTTATGCAAAATGCATCAATTGAGGTTAAGTAAATACAGGTGGAGGTAGTTGATTGGTTGTTACTCAAGGAGATATACAGGGACACTTACTGACCCAGGGTATGAGTCAATTTGGGAACTATACACTTGTAATAATTTATTCTGAATAAATCTATACAAGTAATGATTCGTTCTTGTTTCTTCCTCCACCTAGATATTCAGGAGGACACTTGCCTGTAGTATTTGCCCACCGTCCAAAAAAACTCATAATTAAATTTTGGTACATTGCAGTTTTCCTTTTAAAATGGGGTAACATGATACCACTGGAAAAGACAGAGAGGGATTACTCTAAATTGAACCTATGACCAAAAAACTAGTGGAGTACAGAGCACTTTTCTCTGTGTCTAAGCCCAGCAATGTTAGATTTGCATGTTGAGCTAGCATAGAGGTCAGTTTACTCTTTGACTATCCCATGTCCTACCTGACTTGAGATGCTCACTGGGACAGTGTCGGTTTATGCTGTGTGCCACTTAGTATCAGAATCTCCAAGCTGTATATCACAACATGAAACTGTGTACCTTCTCCACCTGCATGTGTATGTGTTTCTAAATCAGAACCAGAAGAACTTGAAAGCATCATAATAGTGAAAAATTCATTGACTTGGGGCAAGAATTGGCACAGAACTGCAAGATTCATTGTTGATGTTGCATTTGACAGAAGAAGGGATGAATTGTTTGTATTAATCAGCTACTTTACTAGCAGGGATACAACGTAGTGGAACGTAAGTGCTTTCTGATGTACAAGGGTAAATGATCTACTATATTCTCATTTAATTGCTTTTGTCATTACCCATTTTTTTTGAAGGCATTTTATTAATTCTAATTTTTAACAACTTTAATTTTCATTAAATTCTTTTCAGGTTGAAGTTTGAGGTGGCATGATATAAATCCTGTGATGAAGAATGATATTAACTACCAAGAATGTTGTTACCTTGAAGTAATTTCATCAATTCAAGTTCTGTGGATCCGATGTCAAACCATTTGATCTGCAGTTCATCAAGATTTTGGTGGGGGAAATAATCCATGAGCTTCCCTCCGGGGTAAAACCTCCTGGTTCGGTTTGTCTGCACTGTGCACGGTAAAGTAGATTAACTGTATAAAATTCAGATTGGTTCAGCAGGAAACTACATAACAAATTTAAACTCACTCTTTGTTTAATTGCAAATTTCCACCACTTCTGCTTGTGCAGGACTCCTGGAGAATTACAGAATATTCTACCAGTGTTGATGATGAAGAAGGGAGAAAGAGGGTAAAACCAAGTTCACTTCTGTTCTCATCCAACAATTAAAGTTTCTGGCAATGATCAATGAACAGTGATCAGGAGCAGATGACCTAGCCTAGACATAAAATGGCCCAGATTTTGCAGTAAACGTAATGCCAATTATTGAATAGTAAATCACCAGCAACTTCCATCGACCGCACACAAGTGGTTTAACTTGAAATTCTGCTGCTGTTTATGTTCCTCCTAATATTTTGATAGCTCAGAGACAGATTCGGCATTGAAATTCAGGGAAGTCTTCACTGCTGCTCTGATGCTGAAACATAACGCTTACAAATATGGAGTTTTATTTCTTCGCATTTTAACAATTGATTAGCATTTTTTCAAAAGAAATGTGTTTTTTTTAACCTTTTCATTGTATCTTTTACCTCTTTTAATCACATTTCTTTCCCTCTCTGTATTTTACTCTCTCTACCTGATTTCACATTGAAGTCGCTATTTTCACTTACAGTTGCAGGTTTAGCCTTTGCACAACTCAGTAAGTAATCTTCAGACTGGTTGTTTGAAGAGTATACAGTTGCTTGTCCTGTTCACACAGGTCCCGGATCACATGGTAGATACCACTGCCAAACTGGCTTCCTACCACTAGATATAGCACAACAGCTCACTGTAAGGATGTGATCAGGTGTAGTTGAAGTGAATGGCTGACAGTGTTCATTGACCACTAAGTGCAAACTCTGAGCCAATTAAATGAATTTACAGCAGTTGCACTCAAGAAAGTTGATATGATGATTGTAAATGTGACAAGGGCACTTGGGAATGTTGTTTGCAGGTTGGGATGTGATACTGGTGCAATAGGTGAAATTATATTTCTGCTCTAGGTTGCATGGAGAGTGTATTTAGGAGTTTTAGTTGGCATTTAAACTGCTTGACCTGGGACTGCTCAATGTACTGTTATTACTCATTAGTTTAATATTTGCACAGCAACCTACAGCAACAGTACTGTGGCAATAAACACACAATGAGAAAACAGTGAAGAGATGCATGGGGATTAACAGTGATTGCGCAGCAGATTGAGTTCTAATGCAGTATGCCACAGAAAAAGACCAAACTGCTGGAATTTTTTTATATTCACTCATGGAACATGGCTGTGCCAGCAGCAATTGCCCGTCCCTAGTTGCCCTTGAGAATGTGGTGGTGAGCTGCCTTTTTGAATCGGTGGGAAATCTATGAGCAGAATCTGGGAACCCTCATACTGGGAGCTGATTGACTGGACAAAGATTCATTCCAGTCTGTGCTCACAAAAAACCAGATAACAGAGCCAACACTAATCACCTTAAAGCAAAGCTGTGGCCTACTCTCTCCCTCTGGGTAAGTATGCAGCGCAGAAGGAGGAAGAATAGCCAAACTAATGAAAACGAACTCCAATACATACGTGCAATTTGTTTGAATTCAGACAAAACTGGTTCATAAATGTCATAATAGATTTGCTCAACGTTGCTATTGTCTCTGAAGAATAAAAGATCTTCCACAGTGACGGGATCAATTGATCCTTGCCATAGAGTAAGGCTATACCTACAAAGACACAGATACAACCATTACAAATGCTATAGGCAGACACCTTGAGATCACTCAACTCTTCTGTAAGTTTCCATTTACGTGGATCGACAATAAGAAATGTTGCTAATTTTCTTCCCTCATCTTCTGGAGGTGCAAAGGTTACAGTTACAGGGCCATCAGCAACCCACTCTAGCCCTGCCCAAGTGCCACTTCAAATGAGCAGCCCGAGGACTGAGCTTCATGAGCTGTTCCCATGCCAATCCCACAGATATACAATTTTCCAGTTTAATTCCCCACGTTAGAGCTAGAAGTGTAATCTCCAGTGTGTATGTAGTCCTCCTTGGTCTAGGATGGGGGTTTGTTCTCATGGATACATATTCTTTCTTAGACTGTGGAGGGTGGTGTTGGTGATGGGGGGGGCAGTGGGGACAGGGAAGCAACTTCAGTGCATTTATATTCCTCTCAAGTCTCATGGTGACTCCAGACGATTACACCCCCTTCCTCGTTTGAGGATGTGCTGGACTGTCAAACCAAAGCCCCATCTGCTCTCAGATGGACATAAAAGATTCACTGTAGGATTGCCAAATGGAAGAAGAGTTCCTCCTATTCAATGTTTATTCTTCAGTCAACATCACAAAAACAGACTTTCAGGTCATGATTACATTGCTGTTTGTGGGAGTTTCCTGCACACAAATTAGTTACTGTGTTTCCTTCATTACATCATTGACAAAACCTTAAAAAAACTACATCCTTCACTGTAAAATGCTTTAAGACATCCAAAAGTTGTGAAAGGCATGATATGGTGGCAAGTCTTTATTTTTCTTTTTGGTAACTGCAGAGATATATCCTTCCCTAGCTTAGAAATCACACGTGTGGATGTGTACCTCTTCTTTGGCAGGGGATTGACTCGAGTGGATAAATACCTCTCCTTCTCAAAGCATGATATGAATAGTGGATTCATACCCCTCCCTTGCCTGGGCGGTTTTGATACACTGTATCAAAACACATGCACTACTTAATTGTTGCACGACATGGTGTGGGATTAAAAGGTCTCTGCTTCAATGCCCTGCAGCCACTAGTCACTGCAATCAGTCTGATTGCTTGACTGTGAGGGATGGAGGTGAATAAAGTCTCCCAGGCTTCCTTCCCTGGTTGGTCTCTTGAGAATCCAATTGGAATGTCTGCCCTGTTGATCAGGGAAGTGCACATAACTTGCCTGCAATACTAAGCCAGGCTGAATAACTAACAGATGTGGATGCCAAGGAAAACTGCTGAAGGGTATCTGGAACCAAAATGCACCAAGATTCAGTCAGCTAAACAGGAGGACAAAAAAATATAAAAACTCAGGCTAAAAAGCTCTGTACCAGATGCTACAAGTCAGTCCTGATATAGATACTAACTGCACCATATTACCCCTTCACCTCTAGAATCTGAAGTAAGCCCATCCCAGAGTAATAGGTGATCTCTCTATCTCTCTTTCATATTTCATATCTGTAAGGCTCTTCTGTAAAACATTATCTGGTCATCTTCTCGCTCTGAGTAGGTAAAGGACAACCATTTCTATCATTGCAATTGGGACTGCTCTTTTGATTTTTGCACGTAATCCATTTGTGATCCAAAGCATCAGACACCGACTGTTCATCCAGAGCATCTAATATCCCTATAACTGACACATTCAAAACTCAGGTCTTGGGACCGCTGTCACCTAGTTACTCCTGGGTTCCACTGGTCTCTGACGAACATTCAGTCACCATTCTCCAATCTCCTGCAGTTTACGACCTTACAACCTATTTCCAGTATTCAGTTTTTTTTATACTTAAATTGTTAATAATTACAGTTAACCAATGCAAATAACATAACAAGATGGGAACTTTGCAAAACAAAATAAATTTGAGATTATTTGAATGAAACAACTTTGAACTAAAGGGATGTAAATGCAAATTCTAACTCCAGCTGTTCAGAGAGGAAGGAAATATTTTTGTCAGCAACAAACCTACAGCATTCTTTGTGGCTTTTATCTTCTCCTGATTGTAATTGTATTTAAAGTTTCAAACTAAATTATGCTGTATTGACTCTGGCCCTGAGACAAACTAAACAATTTACGATTCATTCAGTCTTATTTTAGAGCTGAGCATTCATAAGATCAGGAGCCTGTGATTAACACTGCTGTGAGTAACAATGCTAACCATATTTAATTAGAAAATAAACAAATACGCCCAGGAACACTCGCATGTGTCTCATCATCTTGCAATTATCAGCTGCCAGATAGCAGACAACTGAACTAAACTCAACCTTACCCTTCGTGTCTTAGTTAGCTTTGTTGCCACCTCATCCTTTGCCAATCTACACATTGAATCCATTGGAAATATGCCTGTACCACTGAGAGGGCAATGGATGAGGATGGCATGCAGCCCAGCACATCAGACGTGCCACTTTGAGGAAGAGATGATCCAGGGCATGTTTCTTACACAACATCTATCAACCACTTACAGTAAAAGAGCCTGGGAGCTAGTTATTTTCCTGGCCTCGCCCAGCAGCAGAGATGATTAAAAGACCTTGTTCTGATAATGCAGATTGATTTGACTTTCGAGTTATTTTTGATCATATCTAAATCTCTTTTAATACTGGCTCCATTTTAATTTGGAAAGCAGCCTTCTTCAGCTGCATCCTGGTGATTATATTGCTAAATCTGACTATGTGACTTCAAAAACTGATACCCCATCTCCTCCAAATCCCAACACATCTGGCAAATGATGATTAAAGTTTACTTTTCAAGGATCCCTCGGTTTTTACACGGAGATAATTGAATTTATTTTAATAGTATCAGCATAAAGAAAGTGATCTGAGACATAGAAAGAAGCACAAATTGGAATGAAACAGCATCAATAAATACAGACAAAATAAACAGAATGGCGTTATTAGTTAGTATTCCTTTACGGTTACCTTGGTGACTGACTGAGTAGCCAACTAAAATGTGGCCAAGCTGGCTTCAACAACACAGCTCGAACAGGGAATGTGACACGTTGTGATAAACCCTTCACCAAGTCATACATTTCCTCCACCATCTTTCGAGTGTAAGGTTTAGTTGCAATCATCGGTAAGTACAGAGACATCCAGCCAGGGGAGAGGATTACATTCGGGAACCTTTGCTGAATAAGACCCAGGAACCTGCAGGAGATATTTCATGGGTCAGATCATAACCAGAAATCGTTTAGCAAGAATTCACTATTAAATATCTGTTTAATATATCATTGTTCTTACAGTAAACTCCTGTTTCTACACAAGACCCCAATGTGCAATGCTCCATACTGGTTGTGGAGCTCCAAAATATTAGTAAAGCAAAGGTCAGTCTTTGGGTGTTTCTTTAATTCAGTCTTCAACTATGAAAATTACTAGTAAGGCTAATACCCACTGCCAATCCCTCATATCTCTTGAAGAAGGTGGTGGGCTTTCTGTATCGATTCTTGCAGTCCATGTGGTCTAGATGCTCCCACTGTGCTGTTGGGCTTCAGGACTTTGTTCCAGAAGTTATGAAGGAATAGCAATATTGATCTTTTTCCTCCAAATGCTGTTGAGCTTCTAGAACACTGCTGTGGTTGAACTCATCCCCAGACAAGTGGAGAATATTCAGTCACATGACATATACCTTACTGACCTTGGCAGGTTTGGGAGAATCAAAAGGTGAGACATTTGCTGGAATTTATTAGACTTTTGTGTGCTGGTATGAATCTGACAACTGAAGAGGTTAGTCAAAATAAACCATCTAGTTTCTTTGTCAGCAAACAGCAGGAAAAATATTCCAAGATTTCACTAATATTGCAACGTTATCAATATCTCTTTTGGACGTGTCACCTCTCAGCAGGAGCAGGTTTGGGATCATTAGAGATTATAGTTCAAAAGGAGGGGTGATATGAAACATGAAAATATTGTTGAAAACACGTGTAACTCCTAATCAATGATTTATGCTAGTACTTAGACATGAGATAGATGCTTACATACCAAATGAGCTTTGTTTTCCCAGTTTATTGCAGATTAAATTCAATCTGTGACTCATACTAACAGACACCTATTATTGTTGAGTTATTTAGTTCAATAAAGTGGTAAAATCCTTGGATCAAAATCTATTAATTGATTCTGATCCAAACCTCTTGATTAAATGTCTGATTGTCCTTCATTCTAAGGATTTATTATTCTATGTGGATACCTTCCAAACCCTTTCAATCATCTCCAGTCTGTAATTTACAGCCAGCTGTTTTATTCTAAGACTCAGATTATTTTCTTTAAATCAGTAAACTATAAATACACTGGGATTAGCATTCTGTAGAATTACTGAAACAAATATATGTTTGTCCTACTTTGAGTATATTTGAAGTATAAAACTGAATCACAGTCAGTTCTAATGGAACAGTAAAGGTCTGCCTGATTTTGTTGGGGTCAGGTTGTGCTTTTGACTGCGACCTCAGGGTTGTGAGTTTCTGCCATGAACCTTCATGTGACTGAACAGGTTTAATGTCGAATCGGGGAGAGAGAGATCTGGAGTTCAGGATTCATTTCCTTTTCATCCCTTCTCTGTCACATCATTCAGACATTATGAAGCTAAAGCACGATGCAACATGCTGGACATGTTGTCACCATTTTGAGCGACTGGTAGTAAGTCCCTTTCTGTCATTAAAGGTAATGCTGCTGTGCTTCGAGGAGAGTTCCGAGTATCTCTGAAGCATTTTCTTTGCTGCCCTGGTGAGGTTGGCCATTTGAGAGTTGAAAAAATGGGACCCAGTGGGGAAAACACTTTGCAGCGATCTTGCCATGGTATCCAGTCTATCAAAGGTGATTTTACAAGAGTTTTATATGAACATTTGAGGAGTTGGTTTCAAGAAGGACTTTGTTCAATGGTCCTCCCATTGAGTATGGAGGTTGTGGCAGAGGCATTGATTCTGGAACTTCCCTAGTGTTCCTGGTGCCTCTGATACATAGCCCAGATCTCACAGCAGTACAGGAGTGCGGCAACAGCAACTACCCTGTATACCACAATATCTGAGAGAGGTGGCTGCCAAGGTAAGGCCGTTAGCTATAGGAGCAGTATTAGGCCATTCAGCCGATTGAGTCTGCTCCACCATACCTTGCCCCACCACCATGGGCTCTTATCTTGTTTAGCAGCCTCCTGTGCAGCACCTTATCAATTGCAGTCTGGAAATCCAAATAGATCACGTCCATTGGCTCCCCTTTGTCTAACTTGCTCATTATCTCCTCAAAGAATTATAATAGACTTGTCAGGCATGACCTCCCCTTGATGAAGCCATGCTGACTCAGCCCTATTTTACCATGCACTTCCTACTCTGCAATCTCATCCTTAATAATGGACTCTAAAATCTTACAAACAACCAAGGTCAGGCTAACTGACCTATAATTTCCTGTCTTCTGCCTCTCTCTCTCTCTTCCTGAACAGGAATGTTACAGTGCCATTTTTCAGTCCTCTGGGACCCTCCCTGACTCCAGTGATTCCTGAAACATTACCATCTATGCTTCCATAATCTCCTCAGTTATCTCCTTTGGAATCCTGGGGTGTAGTCCATCTGGTCCAGGTGATTTATCCACCGTCAGTCCTTACAGCTTCCCCAGCACTACCTCCTTCGTGATGGTTACCACTCTCACCTCTGCCCCCTGACTCTCTTGAAGCTCTGGTATGCTGCTACCATGGTATCTTCCACCATGACAACTGATTCAAAATACCAATTCAGTTTGGTCCAATGTCCACTCTTGCCTCTCTCTTACCTTTTAGATATCTAAAAAAAAGCTCTTGCAATCTTTTGTATTATTGGCTAGCTTCGATTACTAGCTAGCTTCATCTCATATTTCATTTTCTCCTCACTTTTTTTTAGTTGTACTTCTGCTGATTTATAAAGACTTCCCAATCCTCTAGCTTTCCCCCATTGTGTGCATTTGCTTTTATGCTGTCCCTGACTTCCCTTGTTTGCCATTGTTGCCCTGACCTCCACCCCTCCATGTGGGAAGTGCTGAACATATTGCAGCATCTTTCCTCCACCATGTACGAGAGATGGAATATTTAGCTGACCAGATCTGGGTTGTTATGGGTTTTATTTTGGCAACATTCAAGGACGGGCAGAATCTTTCGTAAAATTGAAAATTTGAGAGGAAAGCAAATTTCTCCCCAACTTCAGGGATCTAACAATTGTAGGTACCTTCAAGAAAGAAGATCAATCATGCTATGGAAATGATCAAGGTATTCCACTTGTGCATAACAGGGACCATCCCGCAATTAGCTTAAAGTCTGTTGCTAAGGAAATCCTTCTACAGTCACAATGTAGCTTTAGTCTTTTCAAACAAACCTCTGATATAGTCTTTCTTATCCAATAAATGCAAGAAAAACATCAAGAACCACACCACAAACACTGTTTTGCATTCATTGACATGGCCAAATCGTTCAGTAGATAAAATCACAAAACTCTGGGAATTGTGCTCCAAAGATTTGGATGTCCAAGAAACTTAATCACAATCTGCAATAGTTTCATGATGGTATGAGTGCAACTGTCATGAGAGAGAGACCTGAAACAGATACCTTCAAAATCCAGCCTCTGTCAAGTAAGCCAGTACAGTGTGGAGCTGGAGGAACACAGCAGGTCAGGCAGCATCAGAGGAGCAGGAAAGCCAACATTTCGGGTTTACATCAGGACTCCTTTGTCAAGCAAAGCTGTGGGATTGCCCCAATACTAGTTATAATCTGCCTGAAAATGGCTATTCTCCTCATCAAAAATCAATGGCCCTTTGGTGTCATTATTAAAAACGGTCCAGTCAGAAAATCCCCTGGCAAGCTAGCTCATGAGCCATCCTTTTACACATTGGTGTGCATTGGCTCACCATATGACAATCCAACCCTAAACTTGTGATTATTGCAAAAGCAGCGGGATCTCCTGCACTGGTGGCTGCGGGTATCAGATCAAATGATCGGAGCTTCTCTATCAGTGCAGTGACTCTCTCTCCATTTCTCTTGGTGCTGCTGCGGTTGGGCAGCTAGCAAGTTCTGTGTGTCTGAAAACAGATGCTGGTGGTGTGAGACAGGACTGCAATTGTGGTTACATTATGTAATTGTTATTCAGCAACTGAAAGATCTGATGAGAAAAGATTTCAGGAATTTCAGCACAAATGATTTTTGTTTAAATGTCACTTTAACAAGACACAGAGCAGCCAGAAATAGCTCAATGTCTGTCAAGTGGAAAGTTAAAGCTCAAGAACTGTCATTAAATTATTTAAGTGTCTCTTTGTGTCCTACAGTAACATGTTCAAAGCAGTGCAAGGAGCAGCTTCATCAGGAGGGTGAAGGAGAGGGAATTAAAAATCATCTTTTCTTCTCAATAGAAGTGATGATTCATGTTGGACTATAGATCCATGTCACACTTTCCATGCTTTAGCATTACTGACAATTCACAGGAAACATAACCATTCAGAGTGTTAATGCTGAACCCAAGATGGTACATACAAGATCTCAGTTCATTGTTCATTATGTGCCATACTGCCAGGATATGCACACAAATGGAAATCCAATCAATTCTAGCCTGGCGCTCCCTGGCTAATGGCGCTACAGCAATACCATCACAATGTGGGTTCACAGCACAGAGATGATGCTGGCAAGCAACATCAGAAGAGTGGCAAAAGTCAAAAGGTGCAATGCTATATCGTCACATTTACATGTGGAAAATTTACATGCAAAAAAGAGAAGTCAGTTGGTTCTTGTGAGGTTTCTCAGCAAGGTACAGAATTCCAACAGGACACAACAGAAATAAAACTCATGTCGGATGTGAAATTAAAATGAAGAATGTTTAGCAGTGATAGTATTTTTGAAACTTGCAGCACCGGGTTTAACGTTACCTGGACGCATTGACCGGCTGCATAAATCCTGGGACATTTGGGCCAATCAGAATGTCAGCATTTAGCCAGACTGGTCGGTTGAAATGAATTTCATTATATTTCTTAACTAGGATGTCCAGGGAAGGGTTTACCGCATCAATGCTTTTAAAATCCAGCTTGATACCTGGAAAAAAAAACAAACATTCATTTTACATCTGCAAACCCTTTGACGAAACGGTGGAACCCTTTCCCTCGCTCACGGCACCTATGTCTAGAGTCCCTCACATATTTAACATTCTGGTAGGTCTGATCTGTAATCCACCATAAAGGGTGCATTCACAACCATCATTACCAGCCTGTGTCTGAAAATCATTATTTCGATTTTCATTTCAGAACGCAGACCTTCCCCAATGTTGTGAGAGGTTCATACAGATCAGTTGTGTGCACTGCATTGCTGTGCCAGACTACATAGGAAGGATGAGCATTTATTCCAACTACATCCAGAAAATACACTGTCCACACTGTGAATGGTGACTATTAGATCTCCCCCTGTTGTCACTACTGTCCTGCCGTGAACAGCCATTAGATCCATCAGTGGAGGCACAAACAGGCCTTTGGAAAGAGATCTTCTGAGGATGCCCTTGCTCCCCAAGCTGCAGTAGCACCTCTTCTCGTTCTGTAGCACTACTGTTGAAGTCAGGGCAGCTGTCAGTATCCACCCTACAATATAAAGAGATAGTGAACCTCACATCACCTGGTAAAGAGTCATGGAATAGATGCTAAGTGTAACCAAGTGAGTATGTGGGATTGACTTACAAAGAAAGGGAAGATTTAATGATGCTCTCCTAGATAAGTGAAAATCTTCTTTACCTCAAAAATTACAGAGTGGAAATGTTGAGTTATGGGGCACACTCACCAGACACAGCAGCAAGGTACCTTTCACAAAGAACAGGAGAATAAATTGAGGAATTTGCAAATGTGTTCACTGATATCGAAGGCTGGTGTCACAATTTTCTCATTGCCCTCTCTCAATATGTGTCCATTTTGCCCACATCCCCTCGCTGGCTTCCTCCCAATCACCGACACTTTCACTCACTGTTCACCATCCCTGGGAATGAAGAACCATTGGAAGTGAGAGGGACAACAGTAGTGAGGGGTGGGAGGAAGAAACAGGGAGTGGGGCACTGACAGAAACAGCAAGCAGGAGAGAGGGCATGGAGAGAATCCCTTGAACACCGAAAGCACACTGGTTTTGGGTATACATCAATATTGCCTGCGGCATTACCTCTGCCAGTCTGTTACCCTTTAGAATTAGTTAATGAGCACTGCACTAATATGAGTGTGTCTTTTGCAGTCTTACAGTATTGTTCTTCTTCTGATTATTCTCCCTCTAAATGTCAGGTTTATTTTTCTCATCCAGAAGAAGGTATAAAACTACTTAGCATTTTAAAAGAAGTTTGAACAGAGTAGCTGTTTATATGAAGACAAATTACATTTCTTAACGTAATAAAGTCAACAAAGTGTTATTAAAGAAAATTTGATACTGAATCATGTAAGGACAGAACAGACCAATGACAAGGAGCTTGATTGTAACAGTGGGTTTCAAGCAGGAAAGAGAGTTGGGGATTTGCAGCAGCTTAGGGGAGATCAGTCCAGAGTTTAGAGTCTGGGCAACTGAAAGGAGGCTGAATGATTAAAATCAGGGATGCTGGGGGAGAAAGAAAGAGATAGGGAGGCCGATGGCATTGATGGATTTGAAAACAAAGATGAGAATTTTTAAATGGAGGCAATGTTGTAGCAGGAGTCAGTACAGGGAAGACAGTAGTTGGGATCTCGTACAAGTTAGAACATGGGCAATGGAGTTTTGAATGACCTCAAGAACTAGAGAGGTCAGCCAGGGGTGTGTGGGAATATTTAAATCCAGTGGTAATAAATTGCTAACAATTTCATCAGTAGACAGATTTGGAAAGGAGGAAGATCTTTTGTTCAGAATAAGTTTTTGATCAGGTAAGTGTTACCTTTCTTAGACCTGATGACAGCATCCAGCCACTCCTGCAAGGTATTGTCACTGTAGATACTGGGTGGGTGAGCCATGATGGGGGTACCAGTCTCGTTTTGAGTGTTGAGTCCTTCAATATTGACATCTGCTTCCAGTGCCATTGCACTGCCTAGGAACACACATCCACAACAATCAGACTGTGGAACCAGCAACATGCCATATGATTTCTTTATGACTTTCTCCACCTGTCATTCCAAGTGGGTCAAAGCAGATTGGTTCAATTCACTGTAATCTTCATGGACATTGAGTTGCTGCTAAATTGGAAGGGTTGGGTCAACTGAGACATGCATGAAGGAAGCCCCTGTCTTTCTGAGCTTGCTTCCGAACACATGTTTCACAGCAAGTTGGCCAATATAACATATTGTGCCACAGACTGCTGGCTTTGTAATTTTTGGCTAACTGTCTTTGGAATCTCATCTCCGATCATGTCTGTGCTGCCAGGGTTTCTTCTGTCTGATTCTGTTTCTGTGAGCATCTGAGGAGGGATTTGTACATCTCAGCCCTGCGCAGAGGTTTTGAGATATCGTGCAGTAATCCTACTTGTTGATCCACCTAAGAACGGCTACCTTAACACATTCCAGTTGTTGAACCTGAGCCCTGTGCTCCATACGGTTTACTTTCATACAAGTACTTAGCCAACAAGCCAGTCATCTTCAACCACAAATGGAATTTCTTCTTCCTTGTTCCCCAGACAGGGCAGCTACATCATCACCATGAATACTGGTCATTTAGAACACGCTCCAGCTGAACTTAAAAAAGCAAGAAAATCTCTACGGTCTTCAGTTTATTATTTCCAACAAATTATCTCTGTCTTACACAGGGTGCACAACATTAGGCTTATGCCTGCATTCTGTAAATGGACTCACCATAGCAAACTGATAACAGTGAGACAGCTGAAAGTATTCCGTGTGCAGACATTATGAATACAGGCTAAGGGTCATATGGTTATAGTGATATGCCCCTATTCTGAGCCAGGAGGCCCAGTTTAAGTCCCAACTGCTCCAGAGGCATGTCATAACAGGTTGATTAATAATATCTATGGATACTGCTTCTGTTTAATTTGGTGGTCCTTTGACATTGAGTTTCCAGTGTGACCTGATCTTTCCGTAAGTCCATGGATGGTTCCGGATAGTTTCAATTCAGCCTTTTAGTTTTAGTAACCAGCATACAAAATTGTCCATTCTCAGCCTGTGATGAAAGCAGAGTTTTCACCCTGCATTAAACAGGATTTGCATTACATTTTTAGGTATGCTTTTATATACCTAGGGTAGATATGCTTTAGAACCAACTGGTTTTATTGAGCTATGAGATAGAGACAGTTCAGATTCCGGTTACAGTAGATGGAGCTTTCATCTGTAGATAAGCATGTGGCCTTGTCCCAGAAGTTAACCTCATTATAAATGGTTTGGAAATTCATAGACAGGAGGCCAGGGATGAAGTGTAAACAGTCATTCATCAAATAATACACGGAATGCAGTCTATGCCTTTGAACTTAATTGGTTCCGTGATCTACATATCAGCAGTAAGAATAGGCCATTCTGTCCCTTGAGCAGATCCACTATTTGATTAGATCATGACTAATTTGATTGTAACTTCAAATATACATTCTTACCTACACTCGACAGCCTTTCAACACCTTGCTTCACAAAGAACTATCCACCTCTTCTTTAAAAATATTCCAGGACTCTGGTTCCATCGTTTCTTTTAGGGAAGAGAGTTCCAAAAACTCATGACCCTCAGAGAGAATTTTTTTTAACCTAATCTCTGTTCTGAAAAAGCACAGGCAACCCCTGATTTTTAAGCAGTGACCCCTAGTTCTAGACTCTCCCATAACAGGAAATATCCTCTCCACATCTACCCCATTCAAGGGCCCTCACGACTTTATAAGATTCAACCAAGTCACTTCTTTCTCTTCTAAACTCCAATCTGAAAATAATGGGGTTGGATGTGACGTATTTTGGAGCAGACGGAAAAGTAGTGGGAATACCATATGGTCTCAAATGCAATAGTTGGAGATTAAAGAGTTGGTGTTATTCCTGTGGCAGGTTATCCCATTCATACCAGAAATGAAGATTATTCATTGGAGACTCAGTGCACTTTACATTCATTAAATCAAATAGATAAGACTTTGTTTTAACAGCTCACGCCTGCAAGAGTGCTTCACTGTGCTCTGAGGTGTTAATCCATATTGCAAGCTTAAGTCATGGAGCAGACTTGAGTGTACAATTTTTTAACTCAGAGTTAGGAGTGCTATCAACTGAGCCAACGTGACAAGGGGAAAGATAAACCAGCTCAACTTCTCCCTTGTTGTTTGCTTCTGACATCAGAAAATCGATATAGATCCAAGTGATCAAATTCTCCAGGAATCCTTTGCACTGGAACAAGCACAATGAAAGGGTGGACAGAGCGGAGTTTATTTGTGAAGAACATTAGTTTTGTGCATTTACCTTTCAAGGCTGCCTCCATTTCGCTCTTGCTATTTGCAGCATGGTGCCATGTTACCAGCAGCCCATCCTTCCTGTCAATCATTCCATGTTGAAGCAAGTAATCCAGTAGGTCCCCACCTGGACTGAAAGATCCATTTACTTCAAAGCCCTTGGCTGAAGTTGCAAATAAAATATATTATTTATTTTTTACTTATCATCACTTTAAATAAGTTGCTCTTCCTACTCTTTTGGTTCACACACTGCGATTAGTATTTTGTTGCTTTGTGACACACATTGTGTTAATGCAAGTGACTGGATTTATTTTTCCTATATCAATGACAATTAAATCTAATTGATTGGTGAGATGCAAGTGATACAGGTTCAGGAATCAAGCATATGCCAAAATATTTTAATAGTGCAGTGATATTCATTTAACATGTTCTGTGCCCATCCTACCCTTGTTAACTTATGATTCTAATTCCAACAATGTCCCACGGTGTGTTGATGATTGACAAGTCAGCCTGGCTTATTAATGAGAGCTGCAGAACTATACCAGTCACTATCAACTTTTTTTTTGAAGAAGGGTCTAGACCAGAAACTTCAGCTTTCCTGCTCCTCTGATGCTGCTTGGCCTGCTGTGTTCATCCAGCTCTACACCTTGTTATCTCAGATTCTCCAGCATCGGCAGTTCCTACTATCTCTCACTATCAATTGGCATTTGTTCCTCTTGACTCGATCTCAGATTAGAACCAAAGCCCTGCTGTTAATGTGGATCTAACTGCAGAAGCATCTTGTACATAGCCGGATGTTCCCTCATGCTATGTTAATATGCTGCACTAAGCTCTGGATTTAAGCATGTGTATGTACCCCTGCAGAAAAGAGTCGGTATTCTGAATCAGACAAATTAAAGCTTTAACCATGTGGGTATCTCAGTGGGTCAGTTTAGCAATCCATACCTGTAGATGGATTTCAAAACCTTGACCAAAAGTAAAATGTTGCACGAGACATTTGCTGTTATCTCTGTGCTCATTCTAAACTCAGGTGACTATCGAAGATCCCATTGCAGAATTTAAAAGAGAAAAGGAGCTCTCCAGAGTTTTGTCCAATATTTATTTCTCAACTAACATTACTAAAATAGCTTAGCTGTTCATCATCATTGCCGTTCATGAGAGCTTGCTGAGTGTAAATAGGCTCTTCATTTCCTCTATTAAACAGTGACCACACTTCAAAAGAGTTTCAATGGCTCAAAAGGGCTTTGGGACATCCTGACATTGTGAATTATAAATATTAAATGGAAGTCTTTCTTTTCTCGCTCTCAGGAAACTCAGGTATATTAAATTAGTGGTGTTCAAGTTGCAGTGTGAGAGGCCCATATAATCCCCTAGCTCCTGAATATCCAGCCCTTGAAACAAATGCCATTTGTGAATTTAATTTTACTGGTTTGTCCTGCGTACAATCCGTGCACCTGGAACATTGGATGGGGCTGGTCTGTGTGGTCCAGGTCAAAGTCTGTGTCAGGGCATTCATGGATTGAGCCGTTCGTGAATGAATCAGAGCCTGAACAGTTTATGTGTGCCCCCCGCCCCCTCCAAATCACCAAAGTGCAAGTTCATACAACTCACAAAGACAATACAGACTATTTCAGACTTTTCAGCTTCCTGAACTGATCTAGGAGAAGCTCAAAGTAGACAAATGAATCAGAGGTGCTGTGACCAGAAACATAAGGTGGCTCTGGGGACTCCTCCCCACTGGCTCCCTTGCCATGCAATTAGATGGAAAAAATAAGCACAGTAGTAACCACACGATTCAATGTCAACAGCAATTATAACTGCAAACTTAAAAGCAACAGCCTATGTTCAGTAGATAAACATGTTTCTGGGTTACAGAGACCAGTAAAATCTCGGGTGTGATCTCTATGGTCTGTGCCGGGTTTTCTGACATCGCTAACATTTAACTCCACTGAAACTAGCTAAAGTCATCATTGTGCAATCTTTGCTGGACAGTATCTGTATTCATACACTGGGTATGCAAATCATGAGCTTCTGCCATGATGCCCTCCATTGTTGAACAGCCAGCCTGCACTCAAAGCCCAAGCAAGTGGAATGGCCTTTAAAGAGAGGACAGGACAACCAGTAATCCTGGAATCTCCACCAATTCCCACAGTCAATCCGCATATCCACCACCCAATCCATTCCCATGGATCATTCGCCGTAGTCTGAAGAGGATGGGAGAATGCATGGGGGGAGGGGTAGTAAATTGTTTGGGAACAGGGGCGTGTTCGGGGAAAAGCCAGATCTTGGTGAATGCAGAATTGTGTCTGCAGTGAGTAATTGAGGTGACATTCAAATAGGGAGTGTCTCAATCAACAACACTCTGCCAAATCTGTAAGTCATCCAACATTATCATTAACGTTTCTTGTGCTTCAGAGAATTCATGAGTAAAAGGCACTGTGTCGGTTCTCAGAGCTCTGTGGTGTCTGTAATGAAGATAATTACAAGCAATTATGGAGCTGCGTGACTGAGTCTGAGTGCGAAATAAAATAAGATGATACAGGGAGACGTTCTGAATTGCAATGTTTGATCACTGCTATCTGATTAAAAGGCAGGCAGCCTCCAATTCTGCAGGATCATTTCACATTGCTATCCTATAAATAATTTCTACTCGCTGATAGCATCCTTTATTGGCTCAACTTGTAGATAACGTTTGTTTCAAAATCTTCATCTTACCAGTTTCTGACATGATGTACAGACAGTGCAAGATCAGCAATTGTGCAGATCCTAACAACTAAAGGAAGTTATCTCAGGAAAGAGTAATGAAAGCAGGAAAGGTGCTAACATGTAAGCTAACATGTAACAATAACATGTAACAATTTCTGGATTTCTTTCCCACGCACATTGTGTAGTCTTAATCTGTTTACAGATTTATTTTGTTATCGAATTTTTGGATTCATCATGTTGAAGGGTTTTCAGCAGCAATGTACGCACTAGCAACTACGCCAAGAGGAGGAGGAATACCTCTTCCAAGTGTTCAAGGATAATGGATATCTAAAGAACTGGGTCAGGAGATGCCTACGGGAACAGTATCAGAAAGATTCTACACGCCCCGACACACTCATCACACTACCCTACATCAGTCACATGTCAGAACTCACCACAAGACTTCTACGACAGCTGGGCATCTGAGTGGCACACAAGCCCACATCAACCCTACATCAAGTGCTCACCCGAACTAAAGACCCACTCCCCGCCATGGACAGGACCAATGTCATCTACAAGATCTCCTGCAGAGACTGCGAGAAACACTACATCGGACAAACAGGAAGGAAACTAACAACAAGAGTACATGAACACCAACTGGCTACAAAAAGACACGACCAATACTCACTCATCTCAATCCACATGGACAAGGAGAACCACGACTTCGACTGGGACAACACCAAGATCCTGGGACAGGCTAGGCAGAGACAAGCACGAGAATTCCTGGAAGCATGGCACTCCACGAAGCATGCTATTAATAAACACATTGAACTCGACCCCGTATACATTCCACTACGGAGGAAACCCGGAAGTGAGGCAATCCATTGCAACGGACCCCAGAGTTTAAAAACCAGGCGGGAAAACACACCAACACTTCATCAGAGGCTGCACTGAGGATGTTACCAAGCACGGTAACGAAACGTCTGCGGAACAACAAACCAGCTCAGCGAGCCAACCAACCTCAACACCAGCATCAGGTTGAAACAGGAACTCACTGGGCAAAGAACTCTCAAACATGAACTTAGACCTTAGTGATTCACCACTAGGCAGAAGTAAAATTGATCAATTAATAACTTTCTCACCAGATTTCCTATGGCAAAATAGATCCTGTTGTCCCAGTTGACTTCTTTTAAAGCTCATAATGTTTTAACATGGTTAGATTCCATATTTTTGTTATCTTCTATATTGCAGGCAGCTTCATGCCAGGTTTATTGCACCTCTGGGTGGTTTTGGACTATTGTGGGAAAATAGTGCCTTGTATCAATCCTTTCAATTGCACAGCAGGGGTTGTGGCTAGGCAGACGTGAGAACAACACATTCACACATCAATAGGACAAGCTTTCACTTCTGAAGAAAGTAACTTAGATTAATTCCTGTCCAGTAATTTCTTCTCTAAGCAATGAGCATTTCATGTTCCAAATTCTATAGCTGTAATGAAAAAGAGAATTCACTCTCTCAGCTTTAATACTCAGAAAAGATGGTGGTTTACTAAATATAGTCAAATGAAGTGAAACAGAGGTTTCTTCGTCTTCAAAGTAAAACAGAAAATAGATGGAAATACTCAGCATCTGTGGAGATGGAAATGGAATCAATGTTTCAGGTCAATGATTCTTCATCAGAACTGCAACATGCTCGATTTTGTGCAAGGGATGGGTGGGACAAGGGCAGAGGAAAGTCTGTGACAGGTGGGAAGACAGGGCAGACAAATTACATAAGAGTTGGTCTTTCAGGGCAAGGGGAATGGTGATGGAGGGAGGAAAGAAACAAAGGAACAAAAGATATGCACGCAGCAGGTGTGCTGCTGACTGAAAGAAAACAAAAGACAAATCGGTCTGAAATTATTGAACTCAGTATTGAGTCTGGAAAGCTGCAAAGTTCTGAAGCAATGGTGAACTGCTGTTCCTCAACCATACATTGCTCTTCACTGGATCAATGCAACTGGACTGAGACATGAGGTGGGTAATTAAAATGGCTACAGAGATAGTAGGAAGTGCCGATGCTGGAAAATCTGAGATAACAAGGTGTAGAGCTGGATGAACACAGCAGGCCAAGCAGCATCAGAGGAGCAGGAAAGCTGACGTTTCGGGTAAAATGGCTGGTCACTGGAAGTTTACAGACTGAATGGACCATTTTGCAAAGCAGTTACCCAATCTGCCCTCAGATTAAACTGGTGGAGGATGGAGGTGGATAGCGACTGGGTGGCCATGGTGAAGAGGAGATGGTTAGGGGCAAAAACATTGGAAAATTTTAAAGTGACTGAGGGCATCAGTACAGTCACACGGGTAGAAGAGGAAAGACTGGACAACGGGACAAATAATTGAATCCAGATAGGAAGACATCAGTTCCAATTGGGCAGGAACAGTTTGAAACAATGGTTCCACTGAGGCAACCTTATGTATGGATCATGGCAAGGAGATT